AGATCAATCAGCCACCCACACGAAAGTCATGAGTGGTAAGCGGTCTGACTCTGAACGAATGTGTTGGATGCGTGCAACATCACGTGACGGGCAAGTCACGAATGTCAACGATCTAGCTGTGAACACTATCAAGCGCGAGCCCATCTAAGTAACGAGAGCTTGTTGCTAAATGTTGCCTTGTCGTCACATGATCTGAGTGTGATTTTGTTTATTCCACAGAGGGGTATCTGACCATAAGTTTGAGCGCATGTTTGTTTTTGCCTTTGGTATAATTAGTGTAACCCTCTGTTACAAAGCCCTCGAATTGCGCTGTTGCAGCTCGGTTGTATGCAGATCGTAATAGCTCTTTTCTACAGGATATTGTAAGACAGCAACAACTTAGCCTCAAACGTCGCATCCAGTGCTTTGAGTTGTAACTCGTTGCAATGCACTCGATAATTCGGAGCACAGTTCTTACCAATCAGATGTTTGTAAACAACCTTGCAGATCTCCTTAGAGCAATTAGTCGCTCTTCTTCATATCGCTGTATAGTATGCTACAGTACTAGAGGACGGAGCGAGGGAGTAGCTTAAATAACTCTAGCGTGGATTTTGCTTGGTCCTGTTTGGTTCTCTCTATTTGGTATTGGCGTCCCATGCTGAGGCTGATGTTGCATTTTTGATGCTTCTTCACCGCAGTTGGGCTAAACCAAATTACACTCAAACTAGGTCTTTTTAAGCTGGATAAATTTCATTCCACTTTCTTTGGTTTGTTCTGCCTACCAGAATAATCTTCTATTAACTGGGCATGTTGCTTGCGCAAATTGCGCTAATCTTCGATAACTTTGTTGCGTTTGTGGTATTTTTAAGTAACTTGTGGACATTTTTTCATTATCGCATATTCGTTGCTAACCAAATTACTTCATATGCTAATTTAGCGAAGAGTTATGCCACCGTATTTGTATGCGTTGTTGGATTTATTTTATTTCATCTTGTCTTTTCAAGTGATTGGCTGTTGTTTGATATCCCTGGTATGGTTGCGCTTGATGTGCATATTGACAAGGTGTCTACCTGTCTATTATCCACTACGTCGTCCATACTGGCTCTAGGAGACGGTTGGTCGTTGCTGGAGGGGACGGGGTGCACGGTCCTTGTGGCCGTGCCAGGCTCAAAGAGTGGTTCCATGCACTCAGTGTGGAGCGGACTACGGTCCAGCCACCGCCTTGTGTGCGCTTGATTCCCCAAAGACAGCGTGCATGTGTTTGCATACGGCATACGGCGCTCTTTATTATGAATCAATTATGAATATTTCTGGGTTGGAACAACCGGAAGGTTCGTCATCCACGATTGACTGTATACTTCAAGAAAATATAACAGCTTGAATTAGCAACAGCGTTCCGTGAAGCTCGTCACGTCGAAGCTTGATATCCTCGGCAAATAAAAATGGCCGGTCATGTTTTACATACGTGGTGATACCATTGATGTAGAGCGGAAACAGCGAAGGACCGAGTACACTCCCTTGGATGACCCCACTAGTGATAGGGCGAGGAGAAGTGATGATCACCCTAAGTAACTGTCTGACGGCGACCACCAGGTATGACCGCAACGAACCTATTACGGGGTCGCTCATTCCAAGGCCATTGGTATAGAAAAAAAAACAAGTCAGGTCTTTATAACCAAAGGTTCGGGGTGGGTTTCTCAAGTCAACACTTGTCCTCGGCCTAGGCAATCGGGAAGCTGTTTGCCCACGAAACACATAAACTCATCTAACCCTTTCACTGACTTCCTGTTTTCCTCTCTGTTTGTTGTTGTTTCCCATGTGCCTTGGCACTCTGCCAATTGTAAGTTGGTTGTGTTTAATATTTATCTTAGAGCTCTCCGGCTTTATTAACGACCATTTGTCAGGTACCCGGTCGATTTCTTGGTGTTGTATGTTCAGGAACAGTTACTACTACATAGCCGGAGTCGATAGATTCCGAAATGTAAGTCAGATAATGCAATTGACGGGTGGTACACGATCGCTTGTTAAGAAAATCTTGCTGTGAGCCTTTTGTCAGACCCAATGAATTGACGAAGTTCATCACGCAGTTTTTGACTAGTTTGTTAAACAACCGGGTGTTTATTGGACTGGTGTGCATTGGCCGGTAGTTTTCACTTTTTTATTTGCAACCTTTATACCGAGGCATGGTAATGATGTTTGCCATTTATCTGGAAAGGGGCTAGATCCCAGCTATACGGTGAACCTATTCATCAGGAGCAATGGTGTATCGGCTCTAATTTAATGGTGGATGGTGGAATTCCACCAGAACCCAGCTTGGAGAATGGCTTACAAACTCGGTGAATATCATTGAGCAAAATATCGACTCTACCTATGACGTTTTTTTACTGCATACTCTGTGTATACGGGTACATGTTCAGCTTCAAGATTCATGGAGGCGGTGACGAGGTGCTTGAACGCTTCACAGATTCCAACTGAGTCATGAACTAAGTGATCATCATCATCCACAACTTCAGTAATCAAACGAGAGCGGTCATTTTTTTATACTACAAGTAATCATTCTCAGCTGCCTTGTCGAGAAAGATGATCAATGCTTACAAACACCTCAAAACTACGATTAGCATAAGAGAGCGGTAATGTGCTTCACTTTATGCTTATAGAGATATTTGATGTTAAGGGTTACAGCTCTCAATACACTATTAATGCTTTAACCCCCGGCCTGCCATGGGAGGTCGCAGCATAGATTGATGGGCCTACCAGATACGCGAGAAATTGTGCCATCACCGTGAACCAAAGCGGGCGCAAAAGCAAGGGTATTAAAAATACCGAGGTTAATATAATGAATATTTCATTAGAGTTAATCACTGCAGTAAAATGAGACTTCCAAACAAAGGAAATGTTGTGAACTTGACCTCAAAACCGCCTACGCACCGACGTTTGCACTACTGCTTGGTGGGTCTTTCACCTTGATGATGTCGTAATGTGTCAGACGATATCGCAAACAAGCTGTGTGCTCTTAATTATCCACAGTCTGTCGTTATTTTCCATTCAAATATTTTTGCTACTTTTGGCAAAATAAGGAATTCTTTTAATTTGGTATCAGATTATCTAATGAGTTGGGAAGGATTGTTTTAATGATGGGGGTGAATTCATACAACGAGCAACCTCAGGCACAGCAGATCCATTTACTTTGTCTCGCTCTGGCGCTAACTGTCCAGCAAAGGAACCGGATGTCCTCGCCGTTATAAAACGTCCGCCGCCATCCCTCATTCCTTCTCTTAAGTTACGACGCTATTTACAACGATTTCGCTTACCGATGCCATTCAACGAGACAAAAATTTGATGACGCTGCAACAAGCATAGTAGCGCATACACCACAGATTGCACATCGTTTTCCTCATGTGCTCCTGCAGTGCGCTGTAATTATCCCTCTACGATGTCACATCCTGGCAGTAGCTCCAAGTTACCAGCTGTCTTTGGTGTGAACGCACCAACACTGACCCATTTTAAGACAACCGATCGAGAATTTTAACCTCTATTCTCCGCAAGCCACTTCTTTCGACGACCCACTACCGTCTTTGTATGCTTTTTGTACAGCTTGCATATTCAAACAGGGATATCCCTATATGCGCCAGTTGTGAGATCGTTAGAAAACAGATGCCTGTCGCCTGGGTTAACCTTTATTTACTTGGACATCAATCGCTCTAGCGAAATCCATATTCTAGACCTACGTCCTATTAACCACAACCATGTTGTATCAAGTCAAGGTGAGCTTTATGTACCCAAGTGGGCGTGTTTTCAACAATTTACAGTATCAACTGTGGAATAAGTGAACTGACATTTTGACAAATGCAAAATTCTATAAATGGCTACAGAAAAGGGCGCATTGATGTCACTCGAGTAAAAGGGTCCGCGTTCTTGAGCACGGAGTGCATATTGACAAACAGAATCCTCGTGTATTTTCCAACCAACAGAGCATAGCTTTTTGAGGACATTTCTCCTTATTTAGTTTCAAATGACCTAAAGCTTCGTGGTCGAAACCAACAGACCGCGAATAGTGTGTGGTATCTGGACTTAGCATGCAAAATATCGGTCCTTTTGACCTTGGAAGTATTTGGACAATAAGGCAGTCAAATTGTTCCTATAAGACTTATTATCTCCACAGTAGTTAAAGTATAAGTGATGTTCAATGAAAAGGCAACGGCCAATTTAAAGGCGCCGCTATGCCTGATTCTTCAAAACTGCAGCGTGCGTAAAACACATTTCGGGACGATAATGTACTCCATACTACACCAGGCTGCTCGATGAAAAACGCGTGATCTGAGGCCAAAATGTCCTCACCTGCTCTGTTCTGCTGTCCTAGCTCGGGCCGTCAAAGCAAGGAAAGTGCATTGGGAATTACCAACTACTAAGTTGGCCTAATTTTTGACGGTTTATACTGTGCTCATTTGTGTTGCTAACCTTGTGTAAGTTGTTTACTCAGTTTTAACCATAAGGCAACTGTCATTCGGTCAATTAGATGTACCAAAACACCGGGCGACATCGCCGTCTGTATGGTTTACCAATCACCAGATCCTTCATTACATTTCAATGGTTGCATCTACATGTTAGTCCGCCATGCTTAAACCCTGCTGCTGTTTTATTGAGTGGGTCTATGACATCGCTCCCATCGAACATTGCTTCTTCCCACGCTATTATGACAATATCTCGTTCAACATTGCATCTACCATCCCATTTCATTCCCGATGAACTTGCACGAGCTAACACGATACTTCTTTTAGCATCTAAAAGTAGGCCATATTCCCCGCGTCCTAATTTATTCCCTCTCTCTCTGGTCTGCAGAATGAACAACCATGACGACTTCCATCTCGTTGTATTTTATGCATTCACAATCCCATCACACCTGAGTCGCTTTAGCTAACTGCTTTGCTCAATGATATCGTTGGTTTCACAACCCACTTTCGAGCCATACCTGTGATATATATATGCGTGCCATCTCCCTTTTTTCGTGTTTCCCAACACAGTGGATGCTTGGTCTTCGATATGAGTTTTCTTAATTGCCTGGAGCTCGTCGGTCCGGAAACGATCCTTGCAGCTTGCATAAACAGTTTCACGCGATGCACAGCCTTCTCCAGCTCTTGCAAAGCGCCGACCAACGAAGCAGGTGCGCCAGCTCATGCGTGCGAACAACTTGCCCTCATGTACACCGATTTCAATGTGATCTCGGATCCATCTGTCACCGTTTGTTTGTCGCGTCCGGTGCTCGGTCCTGTTCGCCTGTTGTGGGGGCCAGTGAACCAAGTACGTTTGTTTAGCCCATAACCCTTCTGCCTCACAAATCTGGCCACTAGGCATGTCTGATCGATGAATATCGCCTGGTAGTTCGTTTGTTTTCTATCTCAATCATGCGCCCAGCCTCCCATTTCGCTGAACAAGGTTACATTTTTTCGATCAATCGTGGAGGTCATGTCTTTTCTCTCACTGTCCCATTCTACTTGATTGCTCAATTGGAATTTGTCTACCTTCCTACGAATTATCGCAGTGAGCGATTAGAAGTCCAGAGCCATTGCTATAGGGCTCACAAGATAGGACATTGACGGTTCAAGCTGGCGACTTCATTCACCGCAGCTTTCTTGTTATTGGAACAACCCAGTCTTCACTGATTTCGCCAGGTGGTGCTAATCTTGTTTCGAAACAACTCGGCTTGGTCGCCTGCTCATTCCCTACTTACTACTCTGTGTACACATATATGAGTTCTTAGCTAATTCACCTAATTGACATCATCCAGTCGTTTACGATTGAATTACCCGGCCACCCATTGGGGAAAAGATGCTCGCTATGAAATAAAGAGCTTCGGAATCGGGTGTACACAAATTGCTTCATCAGATAATGCCAGCAGTTAACTTGCCTGTGATTCGAATACCAACCATTTCTAGAATTGCTCCTTTTACATTTCTCTTTATCCTCCTATCTCCTTCATCATCTGCTTACCGTTTTCGTATGGTATATTGCTTATCTATAGATTAGTTATTGGCCTTTTACATGTAGTTAACCATCACAGGTCTTCCCTTTCAATGCATGCTCCATTTACACCTACACAACTGCGGCCGCCAGCCTTGATGCGAAAGTGTTATAGTCGATAGGACAAGTTTTGTTCATCAGCCCTACTACGAAGAAGAGGTCCCGCCTATCGATTACATCAGCTGAGATCTTTAACAGTCAGTGAGCATAATGCTCACTGATTGGTACGAACCCGGAGCTCATGATGCTAGTTGTCAGTGGTTCCTTGTGTTGTTGATCTCCGTTTTTATCCCTTCACGGTTCGATCTGCTACATGACGTTCATTAGACCAGCAATTAGCTGAAGCTTGCTGGACTCGTGTCGCATAGCATTTTCTCAGCGCTTTTCCGTCGCATATTCACATCGCCCTCTAGACCCACATTTTATGATTAAACGACCAGGAACACGTCGCACATTAGTTCCTCAATTGAGGTGCCCGTTTCGGAGTGGCCTCATCCTGAAACTGGCTCCCCGTCGTTTTACCGAGCATGTATATGGTAGCTAAAGGTTCATTAAGATGTCTGGAATTTGTTTTCTGTTTCCCAAAAAGATCCTCAGTCAACTTGCTGTTTAGTGTCAAAATCAAGTCCGAAGTTCCACAGTCCTGGCTCCGAACGCTTTCGGTTTATTGGCCTGTTCATACCGTATTATCGCGAGTCCCGATGCGACAAGTTGGGTCTGACAGACGCACCCCTGTAGGCCTGTGTGTCTTGTTGTGGTGCAAAATCATTCACATGTTATCTCGATTCGCGATTTCGACCTATCCAACCACTCTCTAGGTTATATCAAGTTTAGAGACTTTGATTCGTCGCAATCCATTCACGGTTATTTAACCCAATAGTGTTGAAGATACATGTTGACGCCGTTGCTACTCCTTCAACTTACGGTTCACTTAAGATGCCCGTTCTTATTCTACTAGCGTGATTGTTAGCTTTTTCCACTTTCCGTCCGATTACAGCATGTGCGCCTTTATTTTACAATTCTCTTAAGCTCGGTTTAAACCACACACAAACGACCTTGCATCTCTCAGTTTTTCTTGCCAACGGTGTTACTTTTGCAGAAACTAACCGTTTTACCGCGTTTCACCCTACTTTTCAAAACAGTTGGGTCAACTGATAGGGTGACAGTGAAATGCCACCCGACGTGAGGTGCTCGAGGTTTGTGGAATAAGCTGCATACCATTTCCTGTTTCACCCGACCAACCTGTTCTACTATGCATTGGTTCTCCACGGAAACTTGTTTTCTCCTTAACAGGGATGGCTTTGTTTAGACAGGGCAGGCGCACATCCATTCCTACTCACTGTTATCACTTTCTAACTCCGAATGCTCGGCCAGTGTCTTTGTCGTTACCTTAATTTGTCGTCGTGCTATCGAGTTGGATTGTGACCCATGCATGAAGTAATGGTGATATAAAGGACAGCAGACTACGTGTGAACCCTTTATAGACGTTTAATCCGATTAGGAAAGTTGCAATGCTAGGACCTGGCTCCGGCTGCTACCTCCACGCTATCATGAGACGGGTATCTGCTTCTGTCACGAAGCGATCACTATCGCCCTGACATATCGACGTTAGGCGGTTGGGCTCGCTGCTCCTGGCCTTACGCACAGGGCGATCTAATCAGACTCACTACGGCTGGTGGATGAATTTCGTCCCGCTTTGTACCGAGCTGTGGCGTCTGCAAGCGTCATACTTTCCAAATAAGCATCTCAAACAAATTACCTATTACACACCTATCGGTTGCTCTTTATATATATTTACATGTTGAACTGTTTTACTTGTTCTTCTAGCTACTATATGAACGTTCATCAGTGAACTTTGCTACGTTCAACTATTGCTGACTGTCAGGGATCAACAAGCGAAAACCGACCACTTCCGTGCTATCTGGCCGTGTCTTGTTTCCCTAGCTGTGGTGTCGCTGCACTCTATACTCTTATGAGCAGAATTTCCCAGTCGTTTGTTGACATTGGTTTATAGCTGCATCACACACGTATGGAGCATCCTTTGCTTCTGCGCACTCAGCCACACTGCACAGCCCACGGCTTTCGTCTTACTTTATCCGGCTTTCAATCCCATCACAACACGTCCTCTTTCCGATTTCTAGGTTCGCCATTTCGTCACTACCGACAGATCTCGAACGTGCTAGACAGTGATGAGCGAATGTTGAATCGAGATTTAGGCGAATTCCGGTCACCTGATTCGCGGTGAAACCAGTTCATCGCTCCTGTTACAGTTTCATAAGTAGTTGTGTACATAGTTTCCCATGAGACTGGTACGTCAACACTCCACTAACTGGTTCCGCGCAATTCTAACACGTTTTGACGCAGTGTGTTGGTTCACTCCGGCTACTATCTAGTGATATAGTCGTTGTGACGGATTGCTCGTCTTGTATGATGGCTTCTGTGCTGAGAACTGAGTGCATTATAGTGGGATAATATTTTAGCGTTATGCACTATTGCTCATTCACCAGCTCGACCGATTTCCGTGGCACATTTCGTGACTCCTTTATGACACATGTATTATAGCATATGGGCATCACGTTTCAATATAATTCCCGCTGTTCTTCGTAATTCATCTCGACTCGGTTGTAGGTATACCATTTCAGAGCATATACGGGCATTACTTGTCCCACTGTCCTCAATCCACCTGACATTAGCTACTCCTGACTTCAGTAGTTGTCGAATGACTTTATGGAACCAAAGCTGTCACTCTTCTAAGCAATGTAACCTTTGTAGGAAGCAGCTCTCAGTCGCGTCTGTTAGTCAGTCGACCACGACTGCTACCAGACCTTAATCTTGAACATCGCGTTGAGCGCACAGCCATGTGTAGCGCAACCTTTTCTGGATCTCCTTAATAAGCGTACTTTAGTGTGCACTGTTGTGTTATTCAAAGCTTACCATATTTGGTTAAACAGAATCTTCACTTGCGCATTCTAAACTGTTTCCAGCCCGAGTCCTATCATCGGAGAGTGTATCTCTGGATTCACCCAGCCATGTCAAAGGAAGCCATAGATTTGGTTCAGCGCTGTACACAACACTTCAATGTATCTCCGTCCAACCTGGGAGCAATTCGTTTTGCCAATTTAACAGGGCGTGTAACGAGAATCTGCACCATCGGTCGTCAGTCTCATCGACTGCTGAGCGATATCTTCACTCCTTCCGACTCGGTTCATTCTCGTGGCGACTGGAAAGCGTGGGCGACAATCGCCGCCAACGCTAGCCAATCGAGTTGTCTTCCCTGTGGCTTGACATTGTATTTACCCCAATGTACTGATTTTCTTCAGAATCGGTGAGTCTGTGCGTGTATTATTATATAGCACAATATATTCTCTGTGCTGACTTTGTCGCCTCATCTGGACCAGATTGGGGTGGTTGACTTTATTTCATTAGCAAAGAAACCGGTCCACTTATTTCTACCTTTCAATGAGTGTTGGGATAGCTGAATCGACGTCTAAAAGCTTGCTACAGCTATTGCTCAAACACACTACGCATCAAGTTTACTGCTAAGCATCAAGTCAGTACGAACTCTGAATCAACAATTTAAGGACAAAATAAACTACCTCCTTCTGTGTGAACTCATTCTCTTGCTCTTGTCGATCGAGATATATCGAGACTGTCCGAGGGAGCCAGGAGCATTCTCCAGCTTGGCTGTGTACCGGAGTGTCTAGGTCAGTGGCGAGCGAAGTATCTGCACACCTTGTCTAATCGAACCATCAGGTCAAAACGCGTGAGGCGTTCCAGCCCATTTACCGCGTACCCAGCTGCCACATACGATCGATTAGATGCCATCTGCTGGTAGCGGTCGAACCGATGACACTTGTTCAAATCTGACACTTCTCTTCATGACCTTGACCTATGTGCACACAAGAAATATTATACGTAGTAGTTCATCACATATAGACTCAGTCAGACATCCATCATGCACCCGGAAAAACACTATATGGCCGTTTCATCACTTCGGGAATCGTCAGCAGTGCGCATTCCATCTGACTCCTATAGAGCTCGAACTCGGGACTCGACTGTCGCCAGTCTGTGGTTAAAAACCCTGAGCTATTTGGTACAGAAATGACCGTCGTGAACAAATTACTAGATGTGATATAGCGCCGGGCTTGTGCTAACGGTCTGACTGAGGTTATATGCGATGCATTTCTATCTACACCATTCAACTCCACTTATTACTCTTCCACAAGAAATATCTCCATGCACTCTGTTTATCCTGGCCTTCTGTAACATTGACACGGTGTGGACAACACCACATGTACAGGCACACTTTTGATCGCCTTGGGATGGTCACAGACCATCTGGGCTTTCGAAACTGTACTCTTATCTGATATTTACTCTCACTTGTGGTGTATTAGCCTGATGAGGAACCAGTGGAAGATGTGTTTGTTTGCGAACTTTTGCTTCCAACTTTTGGCGTTATTGCAGTGCATCCATCCTACGCTGTTTGTTCCTACTTTGTTTTTAAACTTCTTGTTCACTCGTCTCCCAGTCGAGAGGTAGCGTTGCGCTCTTGACTTCTCCTAGCTTTGATACGAATCCCGGATTTTAACCATTGTGCATTTACCAAATGTCAGCATACGTGACTGAGCACGTGCACATCACCCGCTTAATTACATGAGTGAACCATGTGCCTCACTGGTATGACCCCCCTATTCTGACTGTTTAACGCTTAGGTCTGACACGTGCGATGAAAATGAAGCTTGCTATTTTGTCAACATGTTACATGCTCGTCTTCAGAATACTCCAAAGCAGCCTTAACGACGTTTTTCTCCACCATAGCGTCTACTTTGTGTTGGTTTTAATGGATATCATCGTAGTTCGCTAGAACTAAAAGTTCCAACGGAGTAGTTTTCTTTCACGGTCAGGAGTTCTACCGCACCCATCAGCGCACTTTTCTTACACCCCGCCCCACCACTGGCTTCGAAGCTGTGCATCAACACGAACTAAGACTGCTACCTGGATAGCCACTCTCTAGGACTCAGGTTCGCAGTTCGGTTCGGTTCAGCTTCGTACGTAGAGATGCGGCTACCATGACTCACCCTGCTGTTAATAATAATAATAATAATAATAATAATAATAATAATAATAAAAGATGGATCAGCCGAAAATAACGTGGTCACTGTGGTGGGAGTGTCCTATCATAATGAACAGATTTCCCAATTGAGACGCGCCTAACGGATTCAATCATTGGACGCCGTTTGAATATTTAAAAACCCCATTGGCCCACAAAGGTCGTTGTTTATGGAAGTGCACGAGCAAGGTGTATCGGGGCATTCTGTATGTCAGACACTGTACTTTTCCATAGGTCGGTCTTGCTTCTCCCTGATGGACATATTTCTGTAACAGACACTTGGAGTAGCAGCTACAAATAATGGAACGGATACAAAAGAGCCACTGACTCTTTGTTGGTGCCGTATCCGGCAGTACATGATCACTATGTAATTGATCTCAAGGACCTCCTCTAAGAAAGCGACGAATACCAACTCTGCGTGGTCTTTCCGTCAGTTTCTTCATTACCTAAGTACCTCGGGATCTTGTTATAGTCACCAAGGTCGCACTGGGCCGCTTTGACTGGCTGTTCGAGGAAACCTGTCCGTCCCGATTGGCCGATCCAAAGGGCAAACTGGTAGATACGGTGTAATGACTACCAGACACGAGATGATCACACGGCGCATAGTGCCGATATTCATTTGTTCGTGACGACCTTCTTGAACCTTCTCCGTTCTCATCCATTTTTTACTTACCAATAATAGTATTAGGTTGTGCGAGCACATTCTTTTGATCAACCAATGTGATTATTCTCTTTGCTTTCTGGAGTTTGTTTCGTTTACGGTTCACTGATCCATTCGTTAGGAGGTGCTCCTCCTAACAGATTTCGCCTAACTAACCGCATTATTTGTAAACAATAACTGACCCGTTTACATACGGAAAATATGACCGAGTCAGCAAAAGTGTTTTGATTTCAAAAGACGCTCAAGGGAGTCATCACAGAGCTAGCTTTCAAACACAGATGGCGAATTTTAGTGCTACTCAATCGGTTCTCCCATCAAACATGAGAACCACCGCGCAATTGTCAATGAACGAACACGATCCGTTTCTTAATTTGTTCAGCACGCAAAGATCAGTACTCTGGTCCGCGCTATGCAACTAGTTACACTACAGTGTTGTAAACCATCTCATCAGCCAATAAGCTTACATCCTATGATCTTTATGATTGGCCAGCAATGTGCGGTTTTTTTCTTCAATAATGCGATCACCAGATACGTAACAGCTATTAAAATAAGTGAACTGATCCAACACTTCGAACGGTTGTTTAATGGTACTGATATCTGGATATGAGTCGGCCCGGTCTCGTAGCCCCATTGCGTCAAAAGTGCTAAGGACTTACCCAAGCGCGTACTTTAAATTTGCTAGTTGGTCGCTTAACCAGTCTTCTCTTTTAGTAGTCGTTCATAACCATTTGGATAGCAAAGTTGAAATGAATTATTGGAAAGCTCAGGGTCCAGTATCCTGTAGTGTTACACAACCACTGAACTGATGGTATACAGGGTTTAACCGAAAACTAATGTCAGTGGATACACTGTGAAGTGTATACAGGTCGCAAAGCATCCGGTTTGGTTGGGATCAGTGGTGGGTTGAGTAAGTTCACAATGGGCAATCGCTCAGTCGTCTGCGACCATCCGCATAGTAAGGACAGCTATTTTCATGAAAATCGTTTTCACCTCCCGTGCAAGCCGCGATGCAGCGCTCGATGAAGCAAAGCATTGCCATCAAGTTTCGTGTGAAACTCGGTAACTCTGCAGTGCAAACGGCCTTTGATGATGATTGTTGATTTGAATGTCAATTCTACCGATGGTACAAATCTCTTTTCTTAAGACCGCAAAAAGGTCAGCGATGAAACCGTGCTAGAAGACCCTTCAATAACAACCAGTGACGAAAAGGTGACCCGTGTGGCTGAACTGTCAACTTTAGACGAGCATATGAATGTCCGTTTAATGACACAGACGTTCAACATTCCGAAAATACGGTTCACGAAATTGTGGCGAACAAGCTGCAGATGAGATGTGCGCAATGCTGGTGTCCACAGTGTTAACCGTCGACCAAACGTCGCGCCGAGTTGAAATGTGCCAGGGACTTTAGGACTTGTGTAAAAGTTACCCAGCTTTTTAGACAGTCTCATCACAGGGGATGAGTCCTGGGTCTTTGAGTACGAACCCGTTAAAACAACAAAGTGCCGGGTGAAAACTTGGGTTGCCCCTCACCCCAAGAAGGCCAGAATGAGCACTTCAAAAACCAAGACCATGTTCATTGTGTTTTTTGACATCAGTCGGCTCGTCCACCTTGAGTTTGTACCGCAAGGTATCACCGTTGACGCCCAATCCTACGTGGAACTGCTCAGTAGACTCAAACGATGGTTTCATCATCTCCGGTCTGACAGCGCGGACGATTGGAATTTTTATCGTGCCAACACACCGGCCCACACCGCCTTCCTCGTGACCCATTTCCTGGTCGATTCCAAGGTGCCGACAGTTTTCCAGCCGCCCTGCAGTCTTGACTTGTCTTCCCCAAACATCTTGTTCGGGCGCTTGGAAACCCCCATGGAAGGACATCATTTCGGGACAGTAGTCAAAGTGAAAGAGGTTTGCACCAAGGCTCCAAAAGAGACATTTTAGTAATGGCCTATCGTAACACCTTCGATGCCTGGAAATCTCGCTGGGAGCGATGTATCGACGCAGGTGGAGCCTACTTTGAAATCTTTTAGTGTGTTGTTCAGATCGGATCCATGAGTATTTTAATCGGTTCGCTGACATTACTTTTCGTACAAACCATGTAGAGATCCTAGAGTAGAAGCGAACTCATCAGGCTTACGCTCCAGAGCTATGCATTGTGAAAAACCGAAACGATCAGCCGAATTATGACTACCTGCAAGTCACGGAAAATGATTCTGATAGGTTGTTCTTAAGTACGGTGATGTTTGGGCATTTAGCATCGAGTAATTATGTAACCAATTCAATCTCTGTCGAAGCGAAAACTAGTCGGACTCACTACTTCGTCTCACCAGAGTACCAGTGAGTCGACGCTACATGATACACCTTCAAAGTATGGAGACAACTAAACTGAGACGTGCCACGATAATTTTTCCAGCAAATCCCTAGACCCTCGTTGGGGTTTTGAAATACCCCCGTGTCTGGATTGCGACTTACAATCACAGTTAGAGCCACGGGTTCTCTTGAAGTAAATCTTTACCATTTCCATCACCGTGAGTGCATCCGAAGTAAAGCACAG